GGCACGTGGAAACACACACAGACACACACAGACACAGACACACAGACACATGGAAACACAGTCCCCCGCACGTCCCTCTGAGGTCCCCTGTGGCCCCTGCCTTGCTCACAGAGCTCAGCGGTCTCCTGGCCTGGGTGCCCGCCCTCCGTGCTTTTGCTCGTTTTCCTAGGTCTTTCCCAGGCCTCCCTCCCTCCCTGCTTCCTGTCTTTCCTCAGATGCTGGTCTTCATAGAAACTGTTCTGTGGCAGCGGATAAAAAAAGCTGAGCGTCTCGCTCTCCCAAGCCCCTTCCTGCTGCCGTTTCTCCAGGGCACCGGCGCCATCTGACACGCACACGCTCCCGTATTTGGACTGTGCACGGTCTGTGAGATCCACCAGAGTGAAGGCACGTTTCCGTTCGCCATGACCTTGCAGCCCCAGAATGGTGCCTGGCTCATGGCAAAGGACCTCAACCCATACGTGGTGACTGAATAAAGTCAGACGTGATGGAGTTACCTGTGGCTGCAATCTCCATTTTCTGCAGAAGGCTCCCACTTCACTGACCGTGGTCCTACAGGTGTCACAGGGTTGCTGTTTAAATCATTTCTGAGGACAGTGAGTGAAATGGAAAAACATCTTCAGCTGCTTACAAAGACGAGGACCCGCTCCACATACGGGCGGCCGTTTATCTGTGAGCCTCTGCACACTGGTGTATCCACGTCCACCTTACCTCACTGCAAGGCTAAATCACGGCTGCTCACGGGGCGCCACACTCTCTGTGCCAAGACCCCGGGGAATTTCCTAAACTGGGATGGGCCTGCCCAGGCCCAGGACCCTGCAGCTGGCTGCTTGATCTGTGTCCTAGGTAAGGGAGCTTGTCTGGTTCGTGCCCAGGGGGTGTGCCCAGGGGTCCTTGCCACGGATGACCCTGGGTGATGAGGAGTTGCAGGAGCAGATCTGTTCCCACAGCAGTAAAGCACCATCTCAGCCATATCAGCCACCCAGGTTCCACCAAGCAGCCAGAACAAACCGGGTCCCCAGATCCCCCAGCAGAAGAAGGATGCCCAGCCCCCTGCCACCGTGTCCAGAGGTACCAGCCACAGGCACCTCCCAGGACGTGCACTCTCCACTCCTCCTCCCCAAATCTCTTAAACTACAGTACTGCCTGGTTGACTGATGCCATTTCTCCCTCCCTCCTGCGTGGTTCCCCTGCTCTCAGACTCACACCCGCGTGCACTCAGCATCTCCCTCCAGCTGCCTCATGGGCTTGTTCCACCCAGTGGCTTCTCCTGGAGACGCGCCTGTTCTCTCCCTCTCAGCTCCAGTGAGTGGCAGATCTGTCCAGGTTCACAGGTCACAACACTCGCGTCATCCAGGACTCCTGTCCTTCCCTCCACCTGCGTCCCAAACGTCGGAAACCCCTGCTGGCTCCTCTTGCCAAAACACACCCCCAGCAGGCACGCACCCACTGCAGCTCCCCGCCGGCCCGCCACGCACCCCTGCCAGCTCCGCCTGGCCCCACCCACCTCTACAGCATCCTGGAGGTGGCAATGATCCGACTGCATTTGCCTTCATTCTACCCTGGCACGCCCCAGCTGTCCCAGTCTATCATCACGTAGCCCTGGGGTGGACCCATCTCTGCAAGAATAAAGCCAAAGTACTTCCAGAGAAATGCAAGACTCCTCAGCAGCCTCCACCACCCGCCTTTCCTTCCCTCTCCGAGGATTCCCTCCCTATCCGTCTCCCAGCCTCCTGGAGCTGCTCCCACGCTGCAGGACAAGGCCAGCCCCGGGGCCTGGACACTTTCTCTCACCTCCGTGCAGAAGGCTCTTCCCAAGACCAGCCTGCCTTGCTCCCTCACCTCCTCCTCCTCACCTTCTCAGCAAGGCCTTCCCTCAGCACCCGTTCAGGTTCGTCTTCCTCTGCCTCCCTTCCCCGCCTTGGTTCCCACAGCAGGCAAATGGGCACGGCGGGCCCCAGGCTGCTCATGCGGGTGTCTCACATTCTCTGCTTTCCCAACTAGAACCCATGTTCCCGGTGCCACGGTGTTAGGTAATTGGGATCCTGGCTCCCAGAACAGTGCCTGGCATCTGCTATGCGCTAGTCAATATTTATTGAATGAATAAAAATTTTTGGCCAGGTACCCTGGCTCACACGTGTAACCCAAAACTTTGAAAGGCTGAGGCAGAAAGATAGGCTGAGGCAGGAATTTGAGACCAGCCTGGGCAACATAAACGAGACCTCATCTGTATTTAAAAAACAGAAAAAATTAGCCAGGCTATCGTGCACACATCTGTAGGCCTTCTCAGGTGGCTGAGGTGAAAGGCTGGTTTGAGCCTGAAAGTTCAAGCTGGCAGTGATCTGTGTTCACGCCACTGCACTCCAGCCTGGGTGACAGAGGAAGACTGTCTCCAAAATAAAAATAAAAATGATACATTAGCTGGGCATGGTGGTGTGCCTGTAGTTCCAGCTACTTGAACTGAGGCAGAAGAATTGCTTGAACTCGGGGGCGGAGGTTGCAGTGAGCTACGGTCACAGCACTGCACTCCAGCTGAATGACAGAGCTATGACATTGTGTGATGTGGAGGATTTCACAACAGGAGCAAAATCTGTTCCCACAGCATTAAGCACCCTCTCAGCCATATCAATACAGGCTCCACCAACCAACCAAAATACCAGATCCCCAGGAGAACGGACTCCCCGCCCTACCACCATGTCCAGAGGCACCAGCCACTTGCACCTCCCAGGACACAGGCGGCAAGACCCTGTCTCAGAGAAAAATAAAAATGTATTATGAAATGTAAATTTATTCTTGCATCTTACTGGCTCATCTTGTGCTCTGTAACCAGACCTTTCCATTGGGTGTTTAGTTATGCTTCACTTTTCTTCCTAGAAACCACAACACAGAAGAAGCCACTGCGTCTCTGCAATATTCTCCCTGGGACAGGAGGACCCCATCCCTCATCAGCCCCTCCTTCCTACCCCTTCACCTTCGCCTCCCCACACATCTGTCCTTGTCTTCCCTGTGGACCACTCTCTCCACCCGGGGACCCAGGCCCAGTCTCAGCCCAGACAGAGGGAGGGGGGGACAGGAAAATGGGAGTAAGACACCAGGAGAGAGAGAGATGTGGAGTCAAAGGAAGAAGGACGAGAAGAAGATGAGGAGAGACACCACACCAGCAGAGAGATGCCCCTCCAAAAACCCAGACAAAACAATTACACCCTGATGGAGGCAGACAGTAGGAGGAAGAGCAAGTGCTGATGAACAAGACAAATGGGGACGTGAACCAGCAACAGGAGCAGGAGCTGCAGGGAAGAGAGGAGGCAACAGTACAAGACCCTCACTCACCTGTGGGTGGGTCCCTGCAGGGAAACAAAACTCAGCAGGGACGCCTGCGGAGAGATCTAGTCAGAATCATGCACTCATCCTCCTGTGTTTGCTCCCACTGGGTCAGGGGGTTAGGAGGAGCCCCAGCACCAGCCTCCTTCCTCAGCCCCTGCGACTCCTTGCCAGGCTGTGGGGCCCACCCACAACCTTGGCCTCCGAGTGGCTCTCGGGCTCAGGAGTGTGGTTCACACAGACCACAACCTCCTCTGGGAGGGAGAAACAGGCTCAGGGAAGGGCTCGTCTCAGCAGACTTCCTCCCAGTGTCACGCAGGTACTTGCTTCAGACACGGGGTGAGGAGGGGGAGTTGACTTCAGACCTCAGCTCTCAGGGGACCCCACAGACTTCAACCTCAAAGAAACAGAGCTTAGGAACAGGACCAGTACTAGGGCCACTGGGAGTCCGTGTGAGGAAATACAGGAAGGAGGCCACAGCTCAGGCACAGGGATACACAAATGCATTGAAAGTTCCTTGGAACTCTGCCACCTGCTCAGGCAGGTGGAGCGCCTTCTCCTCCCAACGTGTTGGGATTACAGGCATGACCCACCATGCCCGGCCTGTTTTTGTTTTTGTATTTGAGACAGGGTCTTGCTCTGCTGCCCAGGCGGGAGTGCAGTGGCACAATCACGCTTCACTGTCACCTGGACCTCCTGGGCCCCAGCTATCCTCCCACCTCATCCTTCCGTGTAGCTCAGATCATAGGCACACACCACTGCATCATAGTTAATTTTTGTATTTTTGGTAGAGACAGGGTTTCACGATTTTGCCTAGGCTGGTCTCGAACTCCTGGGCTTGGGTGATCTGTCCACCTCAGCCTCCCAAAGTGATGGGATTACAGGCGTGAACCGCTGCACCCAGTCAAATCCATCTTTTTTATTTTTTAAGCTTCAAGTCTTTTAGATGACTAAAGTCATCTTTTCCATTCAAAATTTCTTCCAAACGCAATCCATGGTGACCTCAGCCTCCCAAAGAACCCCTGCAGATCTATCATCCGTACCTTTGGAGACAGGATGGCCTTGCCCGACAACTCCTCTACTGACATCATTGTATTTTACAGGATGAACTTGCTCATGTGCAAACAAGGAAACAACCCATACCACACTGTTTTTAAATATGATATCCCAATTCTTCTTTCTCCATCTTTTCATGGTATCTCATGGAGATTTAAGAGTGTTTTGGTCACTTTGAAGGGTAAGATGAAGGCTTATTTGTGCATTCTAAAGACCAGATCATTGAAAATCAAAACTTGGATTTCACATTCTAGTCCATGTTTTTTCCCCTCGCTAAATCAACACTGCTTGGACTTTGGAGACCCACAGTAGGAAAAGAATAGTCTATTAATAACAATTACATTGTTTATCCTTTGAATTTTAAAGACAGGGGAGGTGTTTTTGGAATGTCAACTTTTCACAAATAAATTACCAGGAAGTCTGAACTGATGCCTTCTTTTTATTTTGGAGACTACCTTGCATGATAGAGACCTTCTCTTTTATTTTTTTATTTTATTTTATTTTATTTTTTTATTTTCGGAACTAAAAAAGAACTTTATTTATTGAGGGCAAGGGGATGCAAACAATACAAAAATCAAAAGCTTATCTGGTATTTAACTTTCCTTTCTCAGCTTGTCAAATGGGAGTTAGATTTTATTTTTACATTTGCTAAGGGTCCTGATCTGCTCATGAAATCCTTCTATGGGGAAGCTGTGGGGCAGATTCCTCAGCGACCCTTTAGGACAACTCTTGCAGGAGGAGGGGAATTGCGTTTCTGCCTGCTTCTTTCCCTTCTGCTTCATGTGTACTACAAAATAGTCATTGCATGCAATGGTAGAGGCCATAATTAGGGAAAAAAAGAAGCTCTGGGAAGCCCACTTTGCCATCTCTGCACTGGTCAGGTCCTTCATTATTTGTCGGCAGAGGTCTTTTTGATTTTCCAAAAATCCAGGGAACTCCTTTTCCATGAGTACTCTCAGGTCCTCCTTTGTTAAGTAGCCTTTATCCCCCGCGAATTTGTGAAATGTAAACATCATGGTTTCCATGGCGTACTCCATTTGAGGCGGCATTTTGGTGTGGTCTGTTGAAGCCTTGGCCGAGAAGCGCCGCGGAGCGCTGGGCGGAAGCTGGACGGGGCGGCAGGCCTCTTTTATTTAAAGTGTAAGTCTAATTAATTTTTTGATTGGCTAATGGCATTTTAATTTTAGCAGTATAATAAAAGCAGTAACAGTCATAGAAATGTCTATGAGATGTCAATATTGATGTTTCTTTGTTAGAAATGATTTTTAATGCTCATCCTATTATTATTGTTCTATCTTTTAAAGACAAAACCTTCAAACTGTTCTTCACAGTGATTGTACCAATTTACATCCCCACCAACAGTCTACAAAGGTCCATTTTTCTTCACACCCTTACCAACACTTGTTTGACTTTTTCATAAAAGGCCAAGTGATGTCTCATTGTGGTTTTAATTTGCATTTCTCTGATGATTTGTAATGTTGAGCATCTTTTCATATACTGTTTAGCCATTTTATTTCTTCTTTAGAGAAATGTCTGATATGAGTCCCTGCCCATTTTAATCAAGCTATTTGTTTACTTCCTATTGAGTTGTTTAAGCTTCTTATATATTTTTGCGTATCAACCCCTTATGTAATGTATGACTTTTTAAGCATTTCATTTCCATCTGCTGACTGCCTTTCATGTTGTTGATGGTTCTTTGTATTATAGAAGCTTTGTAATTTTGTATCCAACTTGTTTATGTTAGTTTTGTCATCTATGCTTTTGGTGAATCATCAAAAGTTCTTGCCAAGAGCAATAACCAAACTCTCCCTATATTTTCTTCCAGAATTTTGATGGTTTCAAGTCTTATGTTTAGGTGTTTAATTCATCTTGTATTGTTTGTGTATGGTGTAAGATAAGGTCAATTTCATGGTTTTGAATGTGGATACTAGGTTTTCCCAGCATCATTTATTGAAGGCCTATCCTTTTTCTCCATGTCTTCTTGGTGGCCTGGTCAAAAATTAGTTGACCATGTATGCTTAAGTTAATTTCTGGGATCTCTATCCTGTTCCATTAGTTTATGTGTCTTTTTTTTTTTTTTTTAATGCCAGTACCATACTGTATTGATCACTATTGTTTTGTGATGTAGTGAAAATCCAGGAAATCTTAAGTGCCTCCAACTTAGTTTTCCTTCTCATGACTGTTTTGGCTGCTCAGGGTCTTTTGTTGTTCCATACAAATTTTAGAATTGTTTTTTCTATCTCTGTGAAAAACACCATTGGAATTTTGATAGGAATTGCATTGAATCTGTAGATTGCTTTAGTGAGTATAAACATTTTTACCTCATCTAGTTGGGTAGATGATGGTAAAAAAAAGAAAAAATGTATACAACAAAACAAAAAACATTTTTTACAATATTAATTCTTCCAGTCCATGAGCGTGGAATATCTTTCGATTTATTTGTGTTGGTCTTCAATTTATTTCATCAGTGTTTGAGAATTTTCAGTGTACAGTTCTTTTGCTTCCTTGGTTAAATATATTCCTAAGTATTTTATTATTTTTTGATGGTTTTTGCAAATGGGATTCTTTTCTTGATTTCTTTCTCAGATTGTTGTTAGTGTAAGAAATGCTACCAATTTTGTATGTTGATTTTGTAATAAAACTCTACTGAATTCATTGTTTGTTCTAACAGTTTTTAGTAGCATGTTTAAGGTTTTCTACATATAGGATTATGTCCTCTGCAAATAGGAATAATTTATTATTCTTTTTCCAATTTGGATGACTTTTACTTCTTTTTCTTTTCTGATTGCTTTTGCTAGTACTTTCAGTACTGTGTTAAATAGAATGGCAATAATGGGCATCCTTGCCTTGTACCAGATCTTAGAGGAAAAGATTTCAGTTTTCCTTCATTGATTATGATATTTGCTGTGGGCTTTTCATGAATGACTTTTTTATGTTTAGGAAATTCCCTTCTGTACCTGTTTTGTTTAGAGCCTTTAAAAAAAAATCATGAATAGGCCAGGTGTGGTGGCTCACGCCTGCAATCCCAGCACTTTGGGGGGCCGAGGTGGGTGGATCACCTGAGGTTGGGAGTTCGAGACCAGCCTGACCAACAGCCGGAGAAACCTGGCTCTACAAAAATACAAAATTAGCCAGGTGTGGTGGTGCATGCCTGTAATCCCAGCTACTCGGGAGGCTGAGGCAGGAGAATTGCTTGAACCTGGGAAGTGGAGGTTGTGGTGAGCCAAGATGGTGTCATTACTCAGCCTGGGCAACAAGAGCAAAATTCGATCTAAAAAACAAAACAAAACAAAACAAACAAACAAAAAACCATTAATGGATGTTGAATTTTGTCAATGCTTTTCTGCGTAAATTAAATTAATCATGTGGTTATATACAATTGTATCACATGGTTATTTGCACATGTTAAACTAATCTTGCATTTTTCAGGGATAGATCTAACTTGGTTGTGGTGTATAATCTTTGATATGTTTCTGAATTTGGTTTGCCAGGTTTTTTTTTTCTTTTGAGACAACATCTTGCTCTGTTGTTCAGGCTGAAGTGCAGTGGTACAAAGGTGTCTCATGGCAGCCTTGATCTCCTGGGCTCAAGCAATCTTCCCATCTCAGCCTCCCAACTAGCTGGGACTACAGGCGTATGCTACAACATATGGCTTATATTTTAAATGTTTTTGTAGAGACAGGATCTCACTATGTTGCCCAGGCTGGCCTCAAGCAATCCTCCTGCCTATGCCTCCCAAAGTGCCTAGAATACAGGCGTGAACCACTGCACCTGGCCTGGTTTGCTAGTATTTTATTGAGAATTTTTGCATGTATGTAAATATGGATATTTTTGCAAATGGATATATTTGCAAAATGCTCTATGGAGCAGGCAGGATCCCCACCCTCCTGTGCGGGCTACAGATACCCCAAACTGCAGCTGTGAGATCCAAGCCTCCTGAGCTCTTTGGGAAGGGCCGGGAGCAGTCAGGATCTGCCCTTCGGAGTCGGGTGTGGCTGTAGCCGCCCTCCTAGGTGCAGGAGCCGGGCGTCTCTGCGGCCTGTACCCTTGGGGGCCCCAGGAAGGATCCCCCATCCTGCAGGCTCAGGAGTGTCTGCCTGGCCTCTCTCCACTCCTGGTGCCTGCTCTGATCTCAGAGCAGGTTGGGGCCGAGCACTGGGGCCATGCATGGCAGCAGGAGGCAGACAGAATCCTGGGTGGAAGGGCATGTCCCAGTAAGGCCGCACCTCCAGGCCGGGGAGCACCTGAAGGCTGGGGCCAGGCTGCCACTCCAGCAGACCAGAGTAGGGACTCCTGGTGCCTCTTCTGGGCCCAGCATGGCTGCCCATGGGCCAATCAGCACACACTTCCTCCCCTTTGAGGTCACAAGCCCTGGGCTCATCCCAGAGCCGGGTAGAAGGAGGAAATGGCCAGAGGAGAAAAGGGCAGACAGACCGACGATGGGACTGACAATGAGGACTGGTTGCAGTGAGGAGCACCCTCTCTGCTGAGAGCTTCGGAGACATGCAGAGACATCACGCCTGTGGAGAGCAGAGGAGCCACCCGCTCCAGGGCCTCCTCCGAGCCACCTTATCCAGGGCCTCCTCCGAGCCACCTTATCCAGGGCCTCCTCCGAGCCACCTTATCCAGGGCCTCCTCCGAGCCACCTTATCAGGGCCTCCTCGAGGCCACCCTCTGCAGGACATCCTCTGAGCCACCTTATCCAGGGCACCCTCTGAGCCACCTTATCCAGGGCCTCCTCACAGACACCTTATCCAGGGCCTCCCGCTCTGCTAAGAGCTGAGCACAAGGCTGGATGACCCGCCTCCAGGAGAACTACTCACTCCTCTTGAGGTGTTTCAATACCAAATACAACTGTTCTTCCTTCTTCACTTGTCTGTGTACCTCATTCTTCCTGGATGCAGGACAACTCTACCAAAGCTCCCATCACTCATTGACACCCCAGAGATCCCATTGTAGCAGGATGAGCTGCAGACAAAACTCCTCGGACACCGAGTTAAAGAAGGAAGGGTTTATTCGGCCGGGGGGCATTGGCAAGACTCCTGTCTCAGGCGAGCCTCCCAAGTGAGCAATTCCTGTCCCTTTAGAGGCTCCACACAACTCTAAGTGGGTGCATGTAGAGGGTCGTGATTGACTGAGCAAGCAGGGTGTAAAGGTAAACTGAGGCTGCAGTCAAACTGGGAACGAAGACACAAGGCAAATGGCAGTGAGAATAGCCTTTATTAGGACTCACGGGCGAGTTCCTCAGTTCAAAGGTGCAGGCCGGGAAGTCGTGCTGAGGGAGGAGGTAGGGGCTTCTTACAGCCTGAGAGGGAGGAAGCTGGTTGTGCAAACTGGGGCCTGGAAGTTCTTGAAACTACTAGGGCAGGAGTTGAGTAAGGGTCATGAGGAAGGGGTCTTTGGAGGCATCAGCGAAACTGCTGTTTACGAACTTGTGGAATGCAGGTCATGGGGAGTGGTTGCCCAGAACTCAGTGTATGTGGGAGTCTGTGAGTGTGTACAAGGGTGAAGGGAGTCTTTAACAAGGCCTGCTACGCTTGGGAATGCTTCGCCATGTTAGGTCTGGATTCCTGCCTAACACAGGGGTATGTGACTGGGGGCTGCAGGCACGGTAATTGGTCGGAACAAAACAGGATAGGGATTTTCACAGTGCATTTCTATACAATGTCTGTAATCTATGAAGCTTATAGCTTCAAAGGATTAGGTCAGGGGTTGATCTTTAGTGGTTAAAGGTAGTTTTAGCAGCACCGGGCTCTGTGCCTGTGGATTTCATTTCTGCCTTTTGGTTTCACTTCTTCTTTCTTTGGAGGCAGAAATTGGGCATAGAACGATATGGGGGTTGGTCTCCTCCCTGCTGTAACATGATGGGACATCTGCTCCTGGTTAGCCCTCAGCACCCCCACAGCCACATGCCCCTCAGAGCACACCTGAGGCTTCTTTTCCCCTTGAAAGCTTTTTTCCTCTTCTCTGGCAAAGTACAAGAGTGGCGGTGGCTGACTCCCGCTACTATAGGGAACTCTGGGTAAATAGCCTTTGATTTTCTTATTTGGTTGGTCTTCATTTATTTCCAGAGCGTTCAGTAAGTATTTGTTGAATGAACAGTGAATAACCAA